AACTATAGGGTTCAATGTTGTTTTGGTTTTTGTTTTTATTTCTTTTGAGACAGGGTCTCATTTTGTACTCTGTGTGTGTGTGTGTGTGTGTGTGTGTGTGTGTGTGTGTGTGTTATATGAGTGCATGCAGGTATGTGAGTACGCATGTGCCTATGGGGGCCAGGAGTCAATGTTGAGTGTCTTCTTCATATGCTATCCTCCTTTGGAGACAGGCTCTCTCACTGAACTCACCAGTTGGCTAGACTAGCTGGCCAGTGAGCTCCAGGGATTACCTGTCCCCATCTTCTCTGCACTAGGGTTACAGGTGTGTATAACTATGCTCCACATTTTTCTGTGGTGCTGGGCATCCAAACTTGAGTCCTAATGCTTGAGTAACAGGAACTTTGCTGACTAAGCCATCTCCCCAACCCTTAAGTCCATTTTTTAAAGAGCTGAAAAGGGAAAGTGGGCTTAGGGGCATCCTAGTGTAATCCTAGCACTTGGGAGGAGAAAGCAGGAGGATCAGGATTTCAAGATCATTCTCAGTTGCATAGCAAATTCGAGACCTGTTTTGGACACATGAGACCCTGTCTCAAAAAAAAAAGGCGGGGGGGACATAAAGTGACTTTGTTCTTTTGAAAAATGTGCTGCTAGGCTGGAGAGATGGCTCAGCAGGTAAAAGAAGTAGCCACACATCAGCCTGATGACCTGAGTTCAATCCTTGGAATACACATAAAAAACCAGATTCAGTGGCACACCTCTGTGTTCCCAGCACTCCTGGGTTGAGCTGAGAAGTGCAAACACAAAAACCATCCAGAAGCTCACAGGCCAGGCAGCCTGGTATGCACAGTGCACAGCAGAAACATCGAGAGATCACGCCTCAGCAAGACGGAGGGAGAGAACCGGCTCCTAGTGCTGGCCTCTGCCCTCCACACAGGCGGCACGGCACATGCATGTCCACACTCACGTACACATGCACACCTATAAACACACATACATAAAGTACTGCTGCAGCTGCCAGGTACACTTTAGGCGCTTGCTCACTGGTTCCTTCACTGGGGTGACCCTCACTGTGTCAGGTTCCAGCCCTCTTCACTTGAAACGGCTGGTCACTGGCATCTGCAGCGGATCGCATGTAAGCTTCACATTGTCGTAGCAAATGCAGAACTTTACAGCCGCTAACTGTATTTCACCTCACACACTGACTTTCACAGCATTTCTGAGAGCTGAGATTGAACTCCCCCTCCCCACCTAAGAAAGAGGCTGAGAGAGGGGAGAGAAATGGAGGAACGGAGAAAGAAGTTCTTTTCCTTATGGAAAGTTGCCAGCTACAGGCTGTGGAAGGAACAGGAGAGCTCCATTCTGCATCCATGATGTAATGACTGAGTCAGGCCAGCATCATCACTATGTGACAAGCTGTCGGGAAACAGAATGTTCGCACATGCCAATGTGTCACGCCAGGCAGGCCTGGCGCTCTGCAAGGGGATGAGTGGGCTCAGCGTGGAGATTTCTTGCTGTCAACACCTCAGCTAAGCGATCAGATTGTCAACCATGGTGCAGCAGAATGCTGAGCAATGCGAACTGCCACTCTCATTTGAGATGTGCTCACCAAAGACATCAGAGCAAGCCTCCAAGACCTCAGGCCCAGCTCAGGGAAGTCCAGAGGACAGAAGAGCAGACACAAGGACATTAAAAAGACAGTTCAAGGACAGGCCAACGTGGCAATGTCTAGACACAAGATCCAAGAGTGTGGGGTGTGTTGAAAGACACCAGGCCTCTATCTTCAAAAGTTAATGTCATGGAAAAGAAAAGGAAGGGGAGGGATCCTTCTAGATTTTCAAAGATTTAGGCCTAACAGCCAACTGAATCAGATCCTGGTTATTTTTTTTTAAGTAATTATGAAACAATCTTGGGACAGGTAAGAGTGTTTGAACATAATGTTACATAGCTTAAATGACTAATTTCTCAACTTTAAACATAGAATTGTGGTGATAGAAGTGAAATGGTACAACATCCACCTCTTTTTCCCAGCTACCTTCTCACAGACCTTTCACTTCTGGGACTGAATCAGATCCTGGTTATTTTTTTTTAAGTAATTATGAAACAATCTTGGGACAGGTAAGAGTGTTTGAACATAATGTTACATAGCTTAAATGACTAATTTCTCAACTTTAAACATAGAATTGTGGTGATAGAAGTGAAATGGTACAACATCCACCTCTTTTTCCCAGCTACCTTCTCACAGACCTTTCACTTCTGGGTGGGTGGGTGGGTGAGCTGGTTGGCTGGTTTGAGACAGCGTCTCACTCTGTAGTCCAAACTGAACTGGACTCATGGCATTCTTCCCACCTCACCTCCAGAGTGCTGGGATCACAGGTCTGTGCTTTTACACCCAGCTCACCTTTCACTTCTGACACTACACTGTGGAGTTTCCATGCCAAGCAATTCTTCATGGATCTAGAAACTAGCTGGTTGCTCTAAAGTTCAGCTGACACTAGCCATGTGCCATGAGTGGAGATCCCTCAGATGAAAGACTCAGTCACACAAAGCTGCCTCCGTTTCAGATGCCAGTGGCAAAGAGGGCCCCCAGGTAGCCCACACTTCTACTTGACTTGGTTTATAACTAGAGGTTCTTATGACATTCTCCATCCCCCAACCTCCCAAACCCAGGTCAATCTCAATACTTTGCTATAATGGCTCATGAAACTCAGAGAAACTTAAATGTACTGGTTAAGTATAAGCTATAGGATAAAGAGCCAGATGAACAGCCAGAGGAAGAGGTACACAGGATGAGGTCCAGAAGGATCTGCAACACAGGATTTTCTGTCCAACTCCCTCCCAGCCCCAGAATGAGTTCACCAGTCTGGAAGCTTTCTGAACCTCATTGCTATGAGATTTCTGTGCCCACACCTTGCAGGCATCCTCGTGTGATTACACTTCCCTCAATCTCTGGCCCCTGCCCATTAGCAAGTGAGTGGTAGAGTTGAGAGTCCAGGCTTCTAACCACGGCTCTTCAATGGGACAAATGACACCCTCATCACCTAGGAAATCCCAAGGGATTCAGGAGCTCTGTGCAGAAACCAGAGGCAGGGACCAAATACACATATTTTTATCATATCACACTAAAAAAATGCCCTTGCTCTGAAGGGTGTGTGCTGAAAGATTAGGATTTAAAATGAAGGGTCATAGTAATTGTGACTTATTCTTAAATAATTCATATATATGTGCACATCTGTGAATCACCTAGAATATATGTATATGTTTGGGCCAGGAGATGACTCAGCAAGTAAAGGCACTTGCCACCAAGCCTGATTACCTAAGTTCAAGCCCCAGGCCCCACATGGTGGAAAGAGAGAATCAACTCCTTCAAGCTATTCTCTGATCCCCACATGCATGCTATGGCATGTACGTGTGTGTGTGTGTGTGTGTGTGTGTGTGTGTGCGTGTGCACACACACACGGAGAAAGAGGGAGAGAGTGTCTAAATAAATACATGTATAGATTATGCCTAATATATACATTATATTATATATATTCATTGAATATTCATAGGCAGAAAGAGGAAAAAGCAAATTAAATAAATTGAATTTAGGTGAAAGTTGTCAACTTCTCTGTATATTCAACAAGTTTTATTAAAGGCTAGAGATTCCGGTTCCCAGGACAATTTATTAATGTGTCTATTCAGCAGGTGACAAATGAGCACCCACTGTACACAGCCCAGCACTGTGCAAGAGACCGGTGACAAGCTCAGCTGGGTCTGGGGCTCGTCCTGAAAAGAAATATGGCTCCAGATTGTAATTAAAGCTGGGTGTTTTTTCTGCAAATTCACACATAAGGTTCTAGCAAGAGAGGCTTGAAGGAACAATCCAATGCTTTGGTTTGGTTTTTTTTTCTCTCAGCTAGGTGGAATCTCAACCACTAAAAATCAACATTGGCTGCCTGGCAGATTTCCAGGCCTCATTAAGAAGTGGCGATTATTAGAAAGAATCATACACACTTATTAATTTTGTTTTCCAGTGAATCAAAGATCATCTTTGTCAGCTTTCGCTAAGTCTGCAGAACACATCACAGCTTGATTGCTAATTAGTGTACTGGGAGAGAGTATGCGTCTTCCACAACAATCTTCCATAATAGAGCGCACGTAATTGCATTGCATAAATTCTAAACACACTCTAATTCGTAAACATCCTCTTGGAAATCTTATGCTGTGCCAAAATACTGGTAAGTTGCAAACACCCAATGAAAACTGGCATCTCAGTCTCTGTGAGGTAGAGTGTGACATTCCTAAACAGAGGCTCCCTCATCCTACCCACACACACTATGGACTGTCCCCTTCTGGTGACCTATCTAGTTCTCCCACGCAACTAGAAGTCATTCGTTCATTCAACAAATATCTATTGACAGCCTTCTAAATGTCAAGACTATCTAGAAACTAGAGCTAGGGAAGTGAACAAAATCATAGAGCTTCTAGATTCACTCATAACACGTTCCAGTAACTTCCCAATAGAAATTAGACCCCAAAGATCTGTATGTTAAGCAAAATACCCTATTTACATTGATTTTCAATGGAATCCTAGGAAAATACACATGCATGTGGTGTTTTAAAAGTATATCAGGATCTCAGAGCCAGAAGGTCCTGGGGACACATATCTATATTAGTTACTTTCTCATCGCTGGGACAAAATATGTAACAGAAACAACTTAGGGGTCAGAAGATTTCTTCTAGGGGTCAGAAGATTTCTTCTAGGGGTCAGAAGAAGATTTCTTCTAGGGGTCAGAAGAAGATTTCTTCTAGGGGTCAGAAGATTTCTTCTGGCTCTCTGTTTCAGAGGATCACAGCCCACTGTGGTGGGAAACACGTGGCAGAGTTCATAATGGTGGGAGCACATGGTAGAGACTTCCTTCCTCAAAGGAAGCAAAGAGTAGCTGGAACCAGGGACTGGACTATGATCTTCAAAGGTCCATCTTGAGGGACCTGCTTCCATCAGCAAGGCCCCACAGTGTCCCAAAATAGTCACCAACATACTCTGGTTTTTCTTCAGATCGCATAGATCTTCTGCCTTTTTCTAAAGCTTTCAGTGGAAAGAAACAACTCTGAATCTTAATCCAATTTTTTGAATCCTTGCAGATAGCAAGGCTAAAAAAAAAAATAGTTACCAGCTACTGAAGAAGCCCTTTAAATCACAAACACTTTGGGGGACATTTCATTCAAACTATACTGTATACCTGGGCCTCATCCCCTTAGAGAAGCTGTCCAAGGTAAGCTCGCCTCATGGTGGGTCACAGAAGGACTGGAGGGAATTCCTGGCAGAGCCAGGGTCATCTCTGTCACATCCCATTGGGCAAAGCAAGTCGCCAGCTGACCCAAGTCACTACCCCAAGGAGTGGTGAAGAACAGGAAAGGTAATGATCCAGCCTTCCATAGGACAGTCGTGGTACTCCTCTTCCTCAGCTGGCTCTCATCACCGAATCCTCCAAAGAGTGGCCCCCGACGGAGTGCTTCTTGCCAGGTTCCCCCACTGCTCTTGGGTATCCCTCTGTAATGACAGTTTACTGGAGTCCTCTAAACACATGTCTATCTCTCTCTTGTGACCTGAACTCCCATGACAGACACCTTCAGTTCCCTCCCAAACATCTTTTCCTCATCTTTAGAACCTGAAGAATACAGAGGCTATCTGTGGGGGCCGGCAGGGCACTGATCCACAAGCATCTACCAAACCTGGTCTTGGACGGACCACCCCTTGCTGTGTACACCTACCATCTCTCCCTAAAGGGCTTCACTGGCTACAGGTCCACACCTGGGAAATGGTCACTTAGGTGGACAAGGAGGATCATCATGATCATCATCGATCTTTGATTCACCCCAAAGACTGTGGCCACTTGGCCTGGCCAGCCCAGATCTCTGGTCCCAGACCTCACTAGGACCTCTCTTAGGATTGTCAGAGCAAGACCTTAATGTGGGTATCTTCTAAATACAATCTGCATTTGCAAATGTGCCCCAGTTTTAGTCCATGTGAATTAAATCTGCACAAAGCAGAATAGAGGCATACAAATGGCAGATTGGGGCTGCAGCTCGGTGGTGGGGTTCTTGCCTGGCATGCATGAGACCCTATGTTCAATCCTCAGTACTATCAAAAACAGTCCATATGTCCACCACGTATTCTCCTGGGAACATGGCATTAACACTCCATCATATGATTTGTTGATGATGTCTTGTCTCTTCCCCTTGGTGCTTTAACCACATTGACTAACTGGGTGGTCAGAAAGTATAGCTAAGCTCCATTGGGGCGTGGCATCTTGGAAACAAGTCACTATGCTGTGAAGAAGCTCAAGCAGCCACATAGAGTTGCTACATACATGTTCTCATGCCAGCAGCCCCAGGGGAAGACATAGGCCACAGCCAACCTCGAGTGCCAGACATCAATAAAGGAGTTTTCAGATGACCCCAAATTGTAACTGTTGGGTCATGCCCAACCTTTGGGTCTTCCCAGACACCAGAAAGCAAGAACCAGCCAACCCCACTGAATCCTGTCCAGACTCCTGGTCCACAGACCCTGTAAACTTGAGAAGTGACTGATTTATACCATGGAGTTTTTAGTAGCTTGTTATACAACAGCGGTAAGTTGAATGGGGGTACCCAGAGGAGCCAGGGAAGCTACCTGTACCCTGGGGCATCCCTTCAGATACACGGTAGCTGTAGAGGCTAAACCAAAAATTAAGGATAAACCAGAGACTGAAAGCAGATGACACCTTGGACTCTTAACAGATGGGAGAAGGGGGTTGTCATGGGTAGAGGAGACAGTGCCACGGCAGGCAATGGCTGAGGATGTAAACTAGACTGGCTTGGGTGTGAGAAGCCAGCACAGGGCTGGGCATAGTATTATGTATTAGGGGAGTTTGGGAGGATTCTAAAGCCAGAGTTCCTGGGACAGCTGGTGATGGTGTGCACCAAATCTTGCACGTAAAGAAGGCCTAGCTGGATCTGGGAACTGAAGGGTTCCTAGATACCCATATCAATGGCTTTAGGGGTTAGAGTATCCCGACCAAAGGGATACTGCAGGATCGCAATATCTAAGAAGAGACTAAGAATCTAAGAAGAGACTGCGCAGACTGAGGACCCAGCCAACCACAAGGCTTAGGAGCGGGGAAGCTGGGAGGCCACCCCGGAGGAGGCCCCAAGCCAGTCCTTACTGCTCCTCCTCTCCTACCCCATTTTCTTGGGAAGTGTTCCTCTGACTTCTACAGCCTCTGTACAACGTGGAATCTGCAAATGATGGGCTGCTCACAACCACCTGCTTTGCTGCAGCCCAGAGGGACACTGTGCACATGAACAGACTGACCTTACCAGTTCCCCATCACACTCAAAGACCCCATCTACTATCACCGGAAAGGAGGGACTTTCCACTCCCCTCCAGAAGCCCTGGTGAAGCAGATGTCACACGCACCCCTGGATCTTCCCTCCATGCCATGCATCAACACCACATGAGGACGGTCCAGCTTTCTGGGGCTGTGTTCTGGAGAAGCCCCTGAAGAGCTTGGCACCCCCCACCCCCACACACACACAGCTGCCGCCCTGGGGCCTCCATCAAACACTGAGTATGTGAAGCCCTTGGAAAAGGCAGACTGACTACTACATGATCTATGGCTTTGCCCATGACTGAGTGCATACAGGTTTATGGGGACAAATCCGGGCCCTTCCCCGCACCTTTGCCACCTCTCAGGCTTGCTTCCAAGCTGTGCTTCCTGGCAGGGCCTTAGTTTGTCCTGCAGCACCTTCTGAACTCAAGGCACTGGCTGCACAATACGAATCCTGGAGTGTCTCTCTCCAGCTGCCTCATGATGCCGCTTAGCTTTTCTAGGGCCTGAAACATTCCAAAGGCCCACAGCCCTTCCGTGCCAATGACAAGGTGGGGGACAGGGAGGAAGGGGCTCTGGTACCTTCATGGAATGGAGATGCTGGGCTCATTTCTGCATGCTTCTTCAAAACAGCCTTGTGTCATTGCCTCCCCAGGAATCACAGAGTGAGAAGACCAAAGGACATTCCAGGTCGAGCCCCTCAGACCTCCCAGTAGGGATTCTTGATTTGAAACTTCAAAACAAGCCTAAGAGCTGCCATGTGCTTTTAATTTCCCTGTTGCCGTAAAAGCTGGAGGAAAAACAAAGATCCAGCAAGCTGCTCCAACCAGCCACTAACAAAATGCTCCCCCAACAATTCACAATGTCATTTCCTGACATTCATTTTAATTAGCTGAATGTTCAATTATCACAGGCCTTCCACGTTTATAGAGAAGGATCCTGGGCAGCCTCCACAGCAGGGCAGAGAGCTGAAACTTCTTTTCTCTTCACAACACAGCTGCTCTCAGACAGAGAATTTGGCCATCTTAGATTTGCCTGCGGTCCTGGCCCAGGTTTCTGTGTCCAGCCATGTGTGTCCCGCTTGACCACAGGCAACCCGAATAGAGAATATGAATAAATGAGGCACCTGGGCATCGAGGGTCTTGAAAGCAAGTATATATCCTAGTTACTTTCTATTTCTGTGATCAAAACACTGACCAGAACTAAGTTGGGGAGGAAAGGATTTATTTTACCTTCTATCTCCCAGGTCACAGTTCATCACTAAGGGAAGTCAAGGTAGGAACTCAGGGCAGGAACCCAGAACACAGATCATGGACGATTGCTGTTTACTGGCTTTCTCCTCTGGCCTGTGCTCAGCCTGCTTTCTTATACAACTAAAGGCCACCTGCCCAGGAGTGTCATCACCCACAGTGGGCTGGGCCCTCTCATGTCACTCAATTCCCCACAGGCCAATCCAATGGAGGAAATTCCTCTGTTGAGGTTCCCTCTACCCAGGTGTGTCAAGTTGACAACTGAAGCTGTCCAGCACAGCAAGGAAGGGACTGATACCACCAAGGGGCAGAGGTTACCAATGGGTGGGGGTAGGGAGTCCAAGAGCCTCAGATACTGATTTTAAAAGGGGGAGAGCAGGTAAAAGAACTTTTCAAACAGACAACCTCGAGTGTTTGAAATTTCATTCCTATCAGGTACATGTAATGTGTGTGCTTGTAAACAGGGCATGCATGGGTTTGTGTAGATATATATGTTGATATACATGGATAGATTAGAGGTCTAGCCTGGGCCCTTGGCTCTCAAGGATGTGTTATCTAAGCCCTTGGAGTGTCCTGCTCAGTTTATCTAGGGGACACGGCCTACAACAGTCGAGCACTATGATTCAGGTGATAACTTACAACCCTGAGGTCTCTGTTGAACTTCTGGAGACCGGGATCGGCCACTTGGGAAAATCCACATTTCTTTCTTACAAGGACAGATTTAGTGTATACTAACCCAGTTTGACCTCATAACTTGATTACATTTGCAAAGGCTGTATTTCCAAATAAAGTCTCAGCCACAGGCTCCCAGTGAGCATGGACTTGGGGGAGACACTATACAGCTCTCCATACCTCAAGAGTAGAGTTTCATCCCACAAACAGCTCAACAGCAAGCCTACTGACAGCTGGACTCATAGGGGGATGAAAAGCAAGCACAGGGCACCCTTGGCGCTCTTGTGGGAGGCGTTCCCTCCCTGCCCGACCCTCACATGTGGAGACAGAGGGCTTCAGCCCCTCCCACTCCCTGGTTTTTCCTGGATCTCTGTTCTTACCGTGCATCATTTTCTGCTTAAACCTGGCTCTGTGCAAAATAAGACATGCTGGCTGCAGTGAAGTGGACATCTCACAGGCTTGAGCTAGCACAAGCATCAAGGCTATCCTGAGACAAATTTGCCGGGCTGAGCAATCCAGGCAGCAGCGCTAGGTCTTGCTATGCAGCGCTTGTCTGCCTCCACCCCAGCTGTGGCTCATGAGCTACCTACTTAACTGATGACCCCTGTCTCCTTCCCTACAAGCGGAAGGGGTGTGCCTGGTGTGAGATAACAGAGGAACCCTCAGTCCTGCTAACTATTAATGCTCTTGAATACAGAAGGAAGAACAAGTTAGCTACAACTCACACAAATGCTGACAAAGTTCAGCTGAGAATGTGACCCACAGTAGGGAAATGTGACGCTCTGAGCTGGTAGCATTTCCAGACGACGGGGACTCCAGAGGACACAGCTGCCCTATGGTTGGGAAGAACGAACTGAGGAG